TCTCTCTTCTAATCCTATCACCACCAACACAACCACCACGACACCACCACACTCTCTCTCCTTCCTGCTGCAGCCCCCACCCACCACTAACACAACCACGCACCACCACACTCTCTCTCTTTCCTGTTGGGTGCAAATTGAAGCCACGCCTAATAGTTTGTTTTCAATTTATTTATTTATTTGGGAAATCATGATTAGGACTCTGCCACCCAAAATTCTTACTATACGTCCTATGTTTATGGATAAAAGTTGGTGAATTAAAACATCCTAGATTCCTAGCTAGTAGGCAGAAGCTAAATCTGAAGATATCCATGAAAGGAATATCAAGCCTATGCAACAACAAATTTGTGCTTAAATGTGTTTTCTCTTAACCGGCAATGCAACTTCACATTTGTACTAGTTGTCCTACACTCGAGGTTCTGTAGCCCAACTTGGAGTTCCATCTCACTAAAGTAGTACAGGGACAACCCTTATCTTTTCTTTTTTCTTTTTTCTTTTTTTTTCTAAGTAAAGGAGCAACTTATTTGATGTTCTTAATAAGGTATGCACTCAAGTTCATTTTTTTTTTGTTCATTTTAAAATTTTAATATGAGAAAAATAAAAATCAAAATTAAATGAGTAAAAGATTATCATTTGATAAACTTATCTCTATGTGCACTTGAGTGTATATAAAAGGTGTTGCTAATATGAAATACTATGATGCTTACTAAGACGTTTTTGCAATGAATACTTTTTCAAGGATTTGAACCCTCTAGTCGAAGCTAAAGCTGATACTTCATTTCCTATACAAGTGAAAGACAAGTTGACAATATACAGAGTACTCAGTTTTGTTCACCTGTTCCCTTATGCATAATTACATATTGTTAAAATATTGTCCTAAGCCGCATCCGTCATTAAGAATTCACTTTACAAGATCAGATGAGGTTCTATCCTACAAAATCAAACGAGGAGAATAGCCTTGTAGCCTTATAAATTGTTTAATTTCGTTTTATCAAGGTGGATATTCACATATATATGACACTAGGTTAAAATCCCGTGCAATGCACGCATGTTATATATTTTTGACAATAATATTACAAAATACTGCATAAAAGTATTAAAGTATATAAAAGATATTCAGAAATATTTCATTTGGGTATATATGACATATGATTGTTAAACTGGAAAGAAAATATCACAAGGTATATAGTTTACTTAAAGATTTTGCAAAAAAAAAAAAAAAAAAAAAAAAAAAAAAGCGGGAAAAATTTTCACAAGGTAATGACAAATTGACAAGTGTCATGGAAGGATTTGCTTTTAGTATAGGTCAATTAATTGATTAGAAATGTTATGCCTAAACTAGAAATGGTAACGGATTGGATTCGGGTCAGGTGTGGCTAAATCCGAAGCCGATCCATTTAATAAACGGACCCTGGACTCGGATCCGAATCCGATTCCGAAAAATCTGAGTCTGAATCCAATCCGGCTCGTAATTGTTAGATCCGAATTGAATCAGATCCATTTATTCGGGACCTCCGAATGATCCCCTTTTTTTGGTAATGTATGATATATCTATAATTGCCCTTATAAATGTTTTTTCTTATATCATATTGAATTGATGCGTAAAAAATTAGAAAAAACATAGGGTATAAAGTCTAAGTATAACATATTCAACTTATGAGTTAAGTTACATAACAAAAAATTGCTACAAACAAGCAAGCAATTATCCAAAGTTATAAAGCATATTCTCATTTATACTCGGACTCGGTCGGACTTTGTGCAAGGTCCAAGTCCGCTCCACCTCCTATTCGGATTCGGATCTATTTTATCGAATTCAGACTATTTTTAAATGGATTCGGATTGGATTTTTTTTCCTTCAGATCGGGTCGGATTCAAATCGAACTCGGATTGAATTCGATATCCCTAGCCTAAACACTTGACTCACATGTGCATTCTTTTTAATTTTGGTCACATGCCACTTTTTACTTTCAAAACTCAAAACATCTTAATTGAAAGTGAACTTGGTTTATACAGCTTCCATCCAATTTTAGCTTGATCGAATATCATGCACCAAAGTTATTCGAGTACATATCGAGTTTAATCAACTTTAAAATGCACATAAAATCAATTTGTATACTTATTCTTCTCTTCGTGCAAGCCACAAAATCAAATGAGACAAAGTATGGGAAAAGACACAAACAACATACCAACCTGCATGAAGACATTCAATAAAGCATCATAGAAAGCTCTAGAAAGTGATTTGGTCAATTAATATTTTAACGAATTATATAAACAAATAAGCTACTCTATTTATTTATAAGTAGATTCTAATTTTTATAATACCAAATATATTCTCTTAGATACTTTAATTTAACTTCTTCACTAATTTCACAAGCTATGTTTTTTAGGTGATCTGTTCATTCCAAAATAAGCTAAATTACGTGTCCAATATAATAATTAGCCAGCAATTTGCTTACCAAATTCAAATTCAATAAGCAAGCTAACCTATGTTAATAAAATCTATTGGTCTAGCATAAAATCAATGGTCCTACTCTTTTGACACCTTTATTTGCGGCATTATGGTAAACAGTTCAACCAACTACAGGAATTTATGAATATGAACCACGAAAACATGGTTTTATTGGTCTAACTACTTAGATGTAACATGTAAATTTTATGGTAAATATAGGAAGTATACAAATTAAATCATGTGGTTCTTGCACAACAAAAAAGAGGTTATCTAATTGAATTAAATCATAATTTTCTTGAGCTCAATTCTAGTGTTGGACGTGATTATAATGGAAATTGACTTGTCAATTGTCACTCAAGAGTGGCTAGGCTCATGATGATCTTAGTATGTCGAGTCTTTTTTTCACTTAGTAGTGGATAGTACTACGTGATGATTAAAAGATAATTTGTCAAATTTGTGTGGTGGATATCTCATTCTATTTTAAGCTATACGAGTAAATATTGAATCATTTAAAAATAATTAATAATCTTATTTCTTACATACTTGTATTATGAATATGATGTTACATTGAGATTATAGAATACACTGTTGAAGAACCATGCATACCATATATTAAACAAGGATTTGAAAAATGTGGCGATTAACTTTAGACGAGGGTGTATATTCAAAGTATATACGTAGGCCGAAATGTTAGTTTAATTAAAATTGGTGTGGCTAAGCTAAAGCTAAAGATTAGTACTTTTCGTAGTGGTACATCAGAGTCACTTTTTACTCCAATTGTAGCATAGTTTCTAGTTCCACATAACACAAGAATCATTTGGTCAACTTGTTTTAATTTGGGGGTTTGGATGAGTGTTAATCTTATCTTCATGTATATTGACACCTTTTTCATGATAGTTTTATTCAGCTAGAGTCACACAAAATGACAATGATCAATGATGGTATTAAAGTGAAAAACAATATGAATATTAATGTTTCTTTTTAGTTTTGCCGATGCTTAAAACCTATGTCGGCTAGGTATGGATAAAAAAAAAGTGTGTGTATAATGAAGATGAGCTTTGTGAGTTGGTTATTGATTCGATCAATATATAATACCACTTTATTTAGCTGTTATTCGTTTAAATCTTATACTTTACCCAACTTTATATAGACGATGGGTATATAAAATATAATAATAGAGAAAGTTTAAATTCATGTAAAATAGAAAAGTACGAGATAAAATATCAAGCTTCTATAGTTAATCAAAATTCAAGAGAATTGAAAATCCTAACTTCTTACCAAACAAGTCTATATAATTCATACTTTGTAAATGAATTACATAAGAGAAGCAACACTACAAGAAAAATATCTTTTCGTAGCGACTATTCCTTTGGTATCGATTGTATTTGCTACAAAAAGCTTTCCTAACGAATGGTTATTCAATACAATATCCGTCGTTACCATAACCTTTAGTAGTGTTTTTCGATATCGCTGGGGTTGTCCTCAATAATCGATATGAAAAATTACATCCAATCGTGGTGATTACTGTAGCGATTATAATCGCTATAAAATGTTGAACTCATTTTCTTCCAAAAAAAAAAAAAAAATCACACATATGATCTTTACAAGATTCGAACATATGCAACCTTAAGCTCTAATATTAAATATTTTACCAATAAGTAGTTATGACACATTTTATGTATTATTTGTCAAACAATATTTGTATATTTAGTGTGAAAAAGGCTTTTCGTATTGATTTTTGGGTTTTAGTGGCGATTGTAAACGCTACGATTTCCAATAATTTTATAAATGTGCAAAAAAAAAAGTGGATATGTATTATTATGTTTTTCATATCAACTTTATATAGGAATTACCATGGCGATTGTAAAATAATACGATTTTCCTCTACAATTTCACAAACATACATGTATATTGTAGCGAATGTACAATCACTACAATATAATCGCTACGAAAAGACATTTTTCTTGTAATGCAATAAATTCATTCCCATGAAATAATCCATTTTGTGTAAACTAAACAAGAACTAAGTTTATCAGTTTAGATGGAATTTAGGGCACTGTTGGGTGTGGTGTGGAGATGGTATACATATTAAGTATAGGGCATAAGCTTTGGAGGCTAAAGGCCATAGTTGAAGCTACGAGCAAGTTGCACCGGCGTCCTTCAAGGCGGACTAATTTTCGACATTGATCAAAAGAAGCCTTAAGAGAGATCTTAGGGAGCTTTGTACGCCCATCATCGAACATCTTACTACAAATTGGAGGTTTTTCTCCCAATTCTCGGGTTTTCACATAATTATTTGCATAACCTTGTCTCTTGTTTGCATATTTTGCTGTCGTCTGATCCTATTAAATTAACTACTTAACTTACATTTCTTATGTAAGGGTAAAGGTTTTAGGGTGATGTACGTAATTATTTAGGATATTAGTGCATGGTTTTCAATAATGATGTGTAATGGTTTGGCGGGAAGTTAGGAGTTTTCATTTCTCTCTGTATCCCTTTTCATAATAGAGATTACACATTGAATATCATTTAGCTTAGTTGGTTAAATTATTGACTATTGAGTGGTGGTACCTCAAATTTGGGATCAAATCTCCTTTACATCATTGTCGATCCTTTGTGACTCTGTCTCATTGTTTAAGAATCACTATCTTTAACATTTTTTAAATATATATACTACGTACAGAGTATTTTTTTTTTCTCTAAATTAAACTTTAAAAAAATTAAAAATGAAAAAATAAAATTGAAATCTCTAAAAGACAAAGAAGCATACAAGTCAAACTAAATCATATGCTACTCCTTAAATAACTCACCGTACTTAGACTTCACTATTTAGTATTTACGCCTAATGCACGGGAATCGTAGGCCCCAAAATCTCCATGGTAGCTATACAACAAAATATATATAAACTCTAAATTCTATACTCTTAAATCTTATGCCAAAATTCTTCTCTCTTTTTTTATTTCTTCACTACCTCTTTTAACCCCCTTTTTTTAAACCAATATAAACCTTCATCAACTACAACAACAACAACTTCTACCTGCCCTCATAATTTGCCATTTTTGAAGGTTTTGGTTTTTTCTCTTTTTCAAATCAGAAAAAACATGGCAAAAGCCGCAAAGAGAAATCAAAAGAGCAATTCTAAAGATAATACTAAAACAACAACTACTACTACTACTACGAATGACTTTGTTAAAATTTCGAGCACGAAAACTAAGCGAACAAGGAAAAGTTTGCCTAGAGAGTCCCCTTTTCAACGTAGCTCCAATTATCGCGGTGTTACAAGGTAATCTTCATTATGATTATATAGTACATGACCTATGTTGTTTTAGTTATACTTCCTCTATTTCAAATTACTTGCGCGCCCCCGCAGGAAAATGACGCGCATTTTTGTTGAAGTAAGCTAGACTTTTGGTGGTGCATGCACTTAGCTAATTGATCAAGGTTGTATGTTGCGATTATATATATAGGCATAGGTGGACAGGAAGATATGAAGCACATTTATGGGATAAAGATTGCTGGAATGATACACAGAAGAAGAAAGGAAGACAAGGTTTATTTTTATTTTTATTTTATTTTATTTTTTATTGGTATATTTTTTTTTTGAAGTTGTATTAATTAATATTAGCTGTTTTTGATCTGTTTTTTTTTTTAGTGATACTGATCAATTTATTTGTGCCTTGTTATCTGTTATTGTTGGAATGCTTCAAATTCGGGTTGGAACACTTTTGAATCCGCAGTATATCTTGGTATGTCTTTGAATTTTATTGTAAATTTATTTTTAATTTCTTTTTGATAGAATGTCTAAGGTCAATTTTGGAAAGTGACATTTTTTCCATGATGAACAATTATCTAGAAATAAATATGCTAATTGTAGTGAAATGTTTAACGCGTATATGATAAATTATGAAGTACGGAAAGGTGTCATGTTTGTGGGGTGTACAAGTAACATAAGCGCGTGTAAAGAGATGATATTAATAGAATATACCTAATCCTTAAAAGAGTCTAATCATTCAGATTCAAATCTCATTCACCCTTATTTGTGAAATTTAACATGATACTCGAATGGTACATCTATGTAGTCACTATTTTTTTTTTTTAGACAATCTAGCCACTGTTTAAGGGTACTCATATTGTTGGTTTTAGTGATTGAATTGTTAGTGATTGAACCTTCTCCTCTTTATTAGGTTGCCTAGGCCCATTTTATATTTTTTGAAAAATAACAGTTAAAAGAAATAAAAAATAGTGTTTCCTTTTGGGGTTTACAAAAATGTGGACCACTTCTTATACTTCCTCCGTTATTTTTTTATCGCATCACTTACTATTTTAGGAAGTTTACTTATTATTGCGTCATTTCCTTTTTAGGATAAAAAATATCTATGTTTACACTGCCTACCCAACATACCCTTACTTTTTCACACTTACTTTTTATTTTATCTTACATTACATGGACAATTTTGTATTTTTACGTTTCTCTCTCTTACTTTTTTCCACTACCAAATTTGCCTCCAAAACCCTATGATACAATAAAAAAAAACGGAGGAAATATATAGAGTTTCCAAATTTCACATTTTGTGGGGATATTGTGGGCTCCCAATAATACAAAACATAATGTTCTACTTCAACTACTAATCTTGTTGTCAATCCTTTTACTCGACCAGTGTAACTTAAACAAGCTACATGGTCACACTCGTTTAACTTTTAATGCATAAGTTGATAACTTGATCATAATGAAGCAAAAAGATGGCCCTATTTTCTATTATAATATTTATAAAATTAATCTAAAGTTAGCTTGATCGAAGTTAACACACATCTCTTAAAAGATAAATAGTGAATTTGGAGTGTTGCAATTCATGCTCAAAAAGTGAGCTTGGTCAACCTTAACAAAATGACATTGTTAATTTTGAACATCACAAAGTAAGTGGGTCCAAAAAAAATTAATTTGACATTAAATATTTATTTAATATAAGTACGTACTAATCATAATGTTATTGTTTGATACTCAATACATGAGATTACGTTTTATCTACATCAATGTACTATGCTTTAGTCTCTTCAATCATCAAGAAAATAGTCTTTAGAGTTATATCACCAATATTAGGTTTAAGTTTGGGGAGAAAAGTCAATTAGAATGTTAGTGTTGAATAATACTCGTTTATTATCATTAGACTCTTTGAATTTCACCAATTGTGATAATAGTGTGACAAATGAGAACTGAGAAGTGATAACATCCAAGTGTTTTGATTGAAAATTAATGTTGTGTACACGCAAATACTAGATGCTACTCTTAATTAAATGGCTCCACCCATTCTCACAATTTAAAAAAGTACTAAACCCTAACTCGACTCAACCAAAAAAAAGCTTATTGGGGAATTTTTTAGAATTGATAAATAAAAGATGTGCATAAGGTAAGGATTATATCCTTATATACCGGTTATATACTTATATACGACTTATGAAGTTCTCTTTTCCTTTTCATTCCCATCCACTTTGGGAGAAACTTTACATGTTAGGCCTTGTTGAGTTCACCTTAAAAAAAAATATTCAATAAAAATAATTTTGGTTCAATAAAAATAATTTCAGTTTAGCAAAAATAAGTTCAGGTCAGTAAAAAAAAAAAAAAAAGGTTCAGTTCCGTAAAATTAATTTCAGTTCAATAAAAATAATTTCAGTTCAGCAAAATTAATTTTAGTTTAGTAAAAATAATTTCAGTTCAGTAAAAAATAAGGTGAAGTGAACGAGGCGTTAGTCTACTTAATTCTCAACATATATCACTTACGAAGTCTGTCCTATTGGTCTTCGTAAACCCATAACAATCTTAAAATAATTATCAAAAGAGCATCTAATTAATGGTTTATTACCACATAAGGCTAACCTTTTGGGTTAATAATAAGAGTGTCTTTTTAGATGATTATTAGTACTCCCTTGGTCTTAAATTATTATGATCAATTATCTACTCGAGTTTATATATTATATATTCGTATTAACACTACTGGTCAATTTGGTTGATTAGGTGCTTATGATGATGAATCAACAGCTGCGCGAGCTTACGACTTGGCAGCACTAAAATACTGGGGCAAAGATACCATTTTAAATTTTTCAGTAAGACATTCTACTCTTTTTATTTAAAAGAAAAATTCTATAACCATAGATTTGATTATTCACTTACTTTTTTAATTTTTATATGTAAGTGTAGCTATCAACTTATGAGAATGAGATGAAGGAGATGGATGGTTTGTCAAGAGAAGAGTATTTAGGATCACTAAGAAGGTATTAAATAATGTTTTTTTTTATTATTATTATTTTATTTTTTTATGTTTATATGTTTTGAATTTTTTTTTGTACTTTGTAGTAATATGGTATGGAGAAACGTTTATTTGAAAAAATTATATAATAGAAAATGTTTGTTTACTTTTCAGGAAAAGTAATGGTTTTTCGAGAGGGGTGTCAAAATATAGAGGAGTTGCAAGGTAATTAACATAAGCACGCTTTTTTTTTTACCTTGAGTACTTCTTGATTAATAACATGTTTAGCAATGAGCTTTCAGAGTCTATTCTGATTATAGCTCGACTTGATCAGAATATTCGGCCTATATCTAAGGGTGTGGCTAGACCCAAATTTTACGACGTTTTCAACTTAATTTGGGCCTTGTCTAATAGGTTAAACACCTACTCAAAACGGACTAATCTATAGCTTCGCTAACCTAATTTATGATTTCGATCAACTCTACCGACGAAAAGAGGCTAATTACATTGGATATTAATTTTTGTGGGGTGTGTTTGTTCAGACATCACCACAATGGAAGATGGGAAGCTCGGATTGGCAGGGTGCTTGGCAATAAATATCTTTATCTCGGGACATATGGTACCTTCCTCTTGTACATACGTTATGTTCATCTTTTTGCTATTTCATAATTAATTATATTTACTTTCTTTTCTTTTTTTCTCCGTACTATTTTTATAGCCTAAAAGAAGTTAGACCATGTTTTCTCATTTATAGCTCAATCACTTTCTGTCAAATAGTTTTCACTTACATTAAATGAATACAAGGAAAACCCCGTAATTTTAATTTTTTTCTCCGTAATAAATATGTATTGACTATTCTATCTAATGAACTAATCTGTAGTTTATAATCAATAATCATCAATCAAATATCTTAGTTGGTTAATGTAATTGTATATCGTATACTCTAATTATAATAAGACCGTCCAATGACCGGATCAAAGAGGATCTATTCCATCCTATTTAGATTCAACAATAATGAACAATGTTGCAAATCTTGCCAATAATGTCATTGTCACTTGGTTAGAGAAGTTCAACAACTTCAACGGTTACATAATATATGATAATATTCTATCAAATTTATTTATTAATTTATAATAACATCAAATCTTTCCAACTCTCAACTAAGTTACGCACCTATTTATTTAATATAATTTGCTGTACTTATAACTATTCATTTTTGTTGTCATAAAACAGCTACACAAGAAGAGGCAGCAATAGCCTATGATATTGCAGCAATTCAATATAGGGGACTCAATGCTGTCACAAACTTTGACCTTAGCCGTTACATTAATTTGGACAAACCAAACATTTCATGTGATGATGATCAAGATCAACCAATAAGCCCTAATAATAATAATGAAGTTGAGCCAAGCAATTGCAAGCTAGTTGATGATAGTAGTGGTTCTACTTGTAGTAGCAATCAAAGCTTGTTAGAATACACATCATCAATTGAGAAAATTACCCATGATCAAGTAGATGATGCTATTAGCATCGATGAACTTTTATGGAGCGATCATCAACAACCAACAGTTGATTGTTCATCTACATTGCTAGGTTTCAATGAATATGATGACTTGTTGCAATATAATGTGACGAATGATAATCTATATTCGTGTGTGGATGGTCATCAAGGTGGTGGTTCTATCGATGATGTAGGAAACAATGAAAAAGATTTCTTCAGTGATCTTAGCTCGCTTTTATGTGATTTTGATGTTATGGAGGCCGAACAAATTGAGACATGAATGCATTTCTAGTACTCAAAGTTACGATTGAAGGTGATTGATACATGATTGCATGAATGGGGAATTTATCAAGATTTTAACACTTATACTACACTGTCCTAAATAGCATAGTTAGTCACATTATTTGTTATGTTTGGTACATATTGAACAATACTATTTGTGAATTTTTTTTTTTTTTTTTTTTTTTTTAAAGAGGTTGATTATTGATTACATTTTATCTCCATAAGGCAAAGGGGACAATTTTTTTACGGAGATGAGCTGAGTAATTCTTTTTTTTTTTATTGAATTGTCAATATCTTATTATTATCCCTTTCTGTTATAAAATATATTTATTGTGGATGGTCATTATGGCTTGTAACACCCTTAGTATAATGCCACCCATTGTAACTTTCTTGTAATCCCCCATTTGCCATTACCTCCTTTGTAACCCACACTTAAATGGGACCTTAATTATTCATAAAGGCTTACCTTATGCTCATTATGTATATATAACATGGTCTATTGAAATGAGAAGAATACAACACAATTACCTTCTACATCTTTCTCTCTAATACTCTCCCTTTCCCCTTATTTCATAATACGTTATCAGCAACATCACTTTAGTTATCGGGATTCGGAGGAAACATTATTGCTAGCTTGCTTTTTGCACCAACCTCAATTAATCGAGTTGACGAAATATACAATTCGTACACAATAGTTTTTGTCCCGTTGAGGTAAGTGTAATTACCTCCACTTTGTTTTGATTACAATCATAAAAAATTAGGTCCTTTTGTTTGTTAGTGACGAACTGCCGAATTACAACATCTTTGTTTGTTACTTGTTTGCTAATTGCTATCACTTGATATTGAAATTTACTAGCCTTGTATTGATGTTGCGATTCAATTTAATTACTAAATCATATTTATGATCTGTTGTTTTATTTTCTTAGTCCATATATATGCAGTTGTAATCATGTCACATATTCATATGAAACTATAAGCTACCTCTATTCGCCTTCTTATCCATGTTAATCATTAAAAATTTGTTGAATATCCATGTTTTGTTTTTATATATATATATATATATATATATATATATATATATATATATATATATATATATATATTTATGATTTCTTATTTTGTATAAGGTAAAGTTTTTGTTTTGTTAATTTAATTAGTCGAGTATGTGATGATATACCATCATTATCATAAATATATAATATACTATGAGAATGTTAAGACTTTATAATACAATAACCGTATTGTAATTCATAATTTGATTACTAACTGTGAGTACACTAGTATTTTCTGCTATATATTATCATGATTGCTATTGATTTAATTTATTATCATGGCTTATTTTTGGTACGGCAACATTTTTCTTTTGATTCGTGCATTACTCTTGATAAGTGTTTCGGTCTCTAATTATAATTTTCTTGCTTGATTAAGTATATATGTTTATCTTGCATAGTTAAATTAACAATAATATGGGATCTTAATATTATTAAAGCCTTTATATTATGCATCAATCGGTTATAATAGTAATGCTTAATTTTATTTATTTATTTTGCCATTACATATTAACACTTTTATCAACCATTATGTTTTGATATGTATATGTTTGATATTTTATGAGATCTAATTTTTTAATATTATTTTATATAGTGAAAATGTCGAACCTTGCCAAACTTGAATTTGTGGCCCTTAATATCACTGGAAAGAATTATTTATCATGGGTGTTAGATGCTGAAATATACCTAGATGCTAAAGGGCTTGGTGAAACAATCAAAGAGGCTAATAAGGAAACACCTCAAGATAAGACTAAAGCCTTGATTTTCCTTCGCCATCACCTCCATGAAGGGCTCAAAAATGAATGTTTAATTGTGAAAGACCCACAAATCCTTTGGAGTAATCTAAAGGAAAGGTATGACCACCAAAAAACAGTGATACTCCCTATACCTCGTTATGATTGGTTGAATTTAAGATTGCAAGATTTTAAATCTGTTAGTGAATATAACTCAGCTATGTTCAAAATAACTTCTCAATTGAAATTATGTGGAGAAAATATTACTGATGCAGAAATTCTTGAAAAGACATACTCCACTTTCCATGCAAATAATATTGTCCTACAGACACAATATAGAGAAAAAGGTTTTTAAAAATATTCTGAATTAATATCTTGTCTCCTTGTGGCTGAGCAAAATAAAGAGTTATTAATGAAAAATCACGAATCACGTCCTACTGGCTCTACTCCATTCCCTGAAGCGAATGTGACAACCCATTATGGTAAAAAAAAACTAAAAAAAAGAGACCATTCCAGCAGTAGTGGTCGAGTTATTAGAGGTCGCAGTCGTGGCCAATGGCGCGGTCGTGGGCGTAGGCGTGGATTTAGTGGATGTGGTAGAGGTCGTGGAGGTCATTTCACAAACTCACATTCCCACTAGAAGTGGGAACGTAGAGATGATAAAGTAGATAAAGAGAAAAGTGAGACCAATATATGTAACCGTTGTGGAGTAAAAGGCCATTGGTCTCGGGTTTGTAGAACTCCAAAGCATCTTGTTGAACTTCACCAAGAATCATTGAAGAAAGGAAAGAAAGTTGAAGCAAACCTTGTTCTTGAATATGGTGAAGGTGATTTTGATTTTGGCAATGCAAATCATTCAGAAGTTGATGGTTTCCTTACTTCCCCAGAAGGGAATAATTTTGATTTTGGCAATACAACTCAATTAGAAGTTGCTGATTTCTTCACTGCCCTGGAAGGGAATAATTAAATTTATATTATTTTGTGTCAGTTTTAAGTATTAGACTTCATCTAGTGATTTACTTATGTTAATTTCTATGGTTGTAATAAGGACTTTTGCTTTATGAATTTATGGATTATTTGGGTGTTTTAATTGATTTATTTATTTTATCATCATTATTTTTATGCTTAATATTTTGACATGTATTTTATTTCATGAAGAATATGGATACTACTCATCAAATTCAGTTTGCTATGAATGGTGAACAATTATGTCTTGCTGACAGTGCAACTACTCATACAATACTTAAAAATAAAAAACATTTCTCTCATTTGATGATGAAAAGAATTAATGTGAGTACCATATCGAGTAGTACAAATATCATTGAAGGCTCCGAAAAAGCCAACATAAAATTGCCTTGGGGAATTGAAATTAAAATAAATTATGCATTATACTCCCCACTATCTCACAGAAATTTATTAAGTTTTAAGGATATTCGCAACAATGATTATTATATTGAGACAATCAATGAAAAAAATAATGAATACCTTCAAATCACGAATGTAGCTCAAGGCACAAAACATGTTTTGGAGAAATTCCCTACATTCTCCACTGGTTTGTACTACACAAAAATCAATGCTATTGAAACTCATGCTATAGTAAACCATAAGTTTACTGATAACTTTGTTGTTTGGTTTGACCGGTTAGGCCATCCCGGTTCAATAATGATGCGAAAAATAATTACAAATTCATGTGGACATTCTTTGAAGAGCCAGCAGATTCTTCATAATAATTTTTCATGTGCTGTTTGCTCAGAAGGCAAGTTGATAATTCGCCTATCACCAGTTAAAATTAATTTTAAATCAATTAGTTTTCTAGAACATATACAAGGAGATATTTGTGGGCCCATACATCCTCCATGTGGACCATTTAGATATTTTATGGTTTTAATCGATGCATCGACTAGATGGTCACATGTGTCCTTGTTATCAACTCGTAACCTGACGTTTACGAGATTACTTGCCCAATTGATTAAATTACGGGCACATTTTCCAAATACTCCTATTAAGACTATTCGTCTTGATAATGCTGGTGAATTTACTTCTCAAGCTTTCAATGATTATTGCATGTCCATTGGGATAAATGTTGAACATCCTGTAGCACATGTTCATACACAAAACGGCCTGGCAGAGTCATTAATTAAACATCTTCAGTTAATTGCTAGACCATTGCTTATGAAATCCAATCTCCCAATTTTTGCATGGGGACATGCTATATTACATGCAGCAGCACTAATTCGCATCAGGCCAACAAGTTATCACAAATTCTCTCAATTACAATTGGTTTATGGTCAGGAACTAAATACTTCCCATCTAAGAATTTTTGGATGTGCAGTTTATGTTCCAATAGCTCCACCACAATGCTCTAAGATGGGTCCTTAAAGGTGGTTAGGAATAAATGTTGGATTTGAACCCCCTCAATAATTAAAATCTTGAGCCTACAACAGGGGATTTATTTACGGCTCGTTTTGCAGATTGTCATTTTAACGAGTCACTTTTCCTAACATTAGGGGGAGAAAAAAGAGAACTGGAAAAAGAAATTAAATGGAATGAATTATCATTATCCTATCTTGATCCTCGAACTAAACAACGTGAACTGGAAGTAAAAAGATAATTCATTTACAAAGCTTAGAAAATCAATTGTCAGGCTCGTTTGCTGACCCAAAAAGAGTGACTAAGTCACATATTCCACCTGTAAATGCTCCATTTAAAATAATGTCCCGGAAGGACAAAATAAATTTGCTAATGAGTCTAAACCACGTCAGAAACGTGGAAGACCAATGGGTTCCAAAGATAAGAATCCTCGGAAAAGAAAAGGAGCAATGATTGATGACGGTCAAATTGAAGAAACATTTTCCGAAGGATCTCCAAAAGAGACTTTAGACATGATACAAGAACAAATTCAAGTACCTTGTAATGAAGAAATTTCAACAAATTATATCATGTCTGGAATTACATGGAACCGAAATCAAATCGACATCGATGATGTTTTTTCATGCAATGTGGCATTAGATGTTATGGATAATAATGAGGATCATGAACTAAAATCCATTAAAGAATGTAGACAAAGAAATGATTGGCCAAAATGGAAAGAAGCAATTGAAGCAGAATTAAAATCTCTTGGAAAAAGAGAAGTATTCGGACCTGTAGTCCGTACACCTGAAGGTGTAAAGCCCGTGGGATATAAATGGGTCTTTGTGCGAAAGAGAAATGAAAAGGGTGAAGTCGTAAGATATAAGGCACGATTAGTTGCACAAGGATTCTCACAAAGACCCGATATTGATTATGAGGAGACATACTCTCCTGTGGTGGATGCAACTACTTTTATATTTTTGATTAGTCTGGAAATAAGAGAAGGACTTGGCTTACGTTTGATGGATGTAGTCACAGATTATTTATATGGCCCACTGGATAATGACATTTACATGAAGCTTCCAGAAGGATTCAAGCTGCCAAAAGTAGCAAAATCTAGTTCTCAAGAACATTTCTGTATTAAATTGAACAAATCTCTTTATGAATTGAAGTAGTTTGGGCGTATGTGGTATAATCATCTAAGTGAGTATTTCTTAAAAGAAAGTTATAAAAATGATCCTATCAGCCCATGTATTTTTATAAAGAAATTTGGATCAGGATTTGTTATAATTGAAGTGTATGTTGATGATTTGAATATCATTGGAACTCCTGAAGACATTTCGATGACTGTCGACTGTTTAAAGAAAGAGTTTGAAATGAAAGATCTTGGAAAGACAAAATTTTGCTTAGGTTACAAATAGAGCACCTAGAGAATGGAATCCTTGTGCATCAATCAACATACATATATAGAAAAAGTTCTTAGAAGATTTTCTATGGATACAACACATCCATTGAGCAGCTCTATGGTTGTAAGATCACTTGATGTAGAGAAGGACCCTTTCCGACCTCGGGAAAATGATGAAGAAATTCTTGGTTTTGAAGTGCCATACCTAAGTGAAATTAGAACACTAATGTACCTTGCAAGTCATACATGACCCGACATATAATTTTTAATTAATTTATTAGCAAGGTTTAGTTCATGTCCAACCCGAAGGCATTGGAATGGGATTAAACATATACTTCCTTACCTTTAAGGTACGAAGGATATAGGTTTAATTTTTCCCTAAGTTGTCCAAAGAAAATTTGATTGGTTTTGCAGATGCAGGTTATTTATCAGATCCTCATAATGCTCGATCACAAACTGGATATGTGTTCACATATGGTAGTACTGCCATTTCTTGGCGTTTCATGAAACAAACCATTGTAGCTACTTCTTCCAATCATTCTGAGATTTTAGATTCAAAAGGCTAGTCGTGAATGTGTTTGGTTAAGGTCGGTAATTCAACATATAAAAGAAGTTTGTGGTTTATCATGCGGGTAAGAGGCACCGACAATTCTATACAAGGACAATTCAGCTTGTATTGCTCAGCTTAAGGAAGGATACATCAAAGGTGACATAACAAAGCACATCTCACCCAAATTTTTCTTCACTCATGATCTTCAGAAGAATGGAGATATAAATGTTTTACAAATTCGTTCAAGTGAGAATTTAGCAGACTTATTCACTAAGGCTCTTCCAACCGCAACATTTAAAAAGTTAGTTTATTGTATTGGATTGCGTCGTCTCAAAGATCTTCAATGATATAATAATGAGAGGGAGTAATTGCACACTGCACTCTTTTTCCCTTATCCATGGTTTTTTCCCACAAGGTTTTTCCTGGAAAGGTTTTTAATGAGGCAGTATATATGCGCATTAAATCTATTTTAAACATATTTATTGTTGATGGTCATTATGGTTTGTAATACCCTTAGTATAATGCCACCCATTGTAACCTCCTTGTAACCCCCCATTTGCTATTACCTCCTTTGTAACCCCCACTTAAATGGAACCTTAATTGTCCATGAAGGTTACCTTATGCTCATCATGTATATATAACATGGTCTATTAAAATGAGAAGAATACAACACAATTACCTTCTACATCTCTCTCTCTAATATTCTCCCTTTCCCCTTATTTCATAATACTTTCTTATTTATTTCTTTATTTTAGCATTATCTGGAAATCCAAACCCCCCCCCCCCCCTCTTTTAATGAAGAATTATTTTAGCATTATTGGTAAATTTTACATGGTTAGTAATATTATGAAAAGATATACTTCTATAAGCTTATAAGTTATACTTTACAGAATAAATTTACTAGATACAAATTTTCACATGGTTGTAAAGTTAAATTTCATAATAACAAACTGATCCGGCTAGGCTCCAAGTTGGCTAGGTTACTGATGTCCCTCCCAAAAACCTAAAGGGTCAAGTGATACCTAACTTTACCATCCAACCAAACAAGTGC